ATTTAATACACTCATCCCTTAGAACTGTACATGATTTTAATAAATACGAACTTTTATTAGTGAAATACTCAAACAACATGCCCCTATGTATTCTACAGGAGGAAATGGAGATGACCCACTTGATTCGGTGTCCAGCTCTAAAGACAACGACGGAAACCCAGAGAAACTGGGAAGCCAGAAGACAGCTAATGAACTGCTATTAATCAACTACTATATACGTTTCCTCCTCCATTTTGAAAGCCGAAGTCAACTCAGGGGCTAATTATAAATATCATAAAGCCTGCCATTTGAAATAATATTAGTGAAATACTTAAAATTGTATCATTATATTTGCACACTGTTGTAAGGATGCACTGGAATCCAGAAGTACTCGAGTTTTCCATAAATTTAGCTTAGATAAAAACTTGATTAGGGTTTGACGCCTAGCAAATCAATTTTTCTAGTGCCTTTAAAAATCTAACTTGTCTCAAGCCTATTTTAAAATTCAGTTTTTCAGTTTGTAACTACTTCTATGGAAAGAGGAAACATGCACCACTTTTTTGTCATCAGAAACGCTTTTTCGCCATATTTACCTTACGCGTTTTAGAAGCACATGCAAATGAAATTTAAATATGATCTTTCGTGAAAACTAAAATGGATGTTTTGTTCCCTGTGAAGGATATTATTTTGCTACTCAGTGATTGCAAATATTAAGGAGTTCATCAAAAGTTACATTATTAATATAAGTTGCAATGTTTGTTAAAATCGTCGAAAAATCGATTTCTTAGGTGTAGTGTCATTTGCACTCAACTTTTAAATTATAAATTAAAATTACATGAAAATCGTCAAATTAATTTTAAATTCATTCAAATCCACGGGATGATTTTAAATTAAATAAAATTTAACGTACCCAACCAAAGGAAGACTTGGAAAAGAGTGCGATTGACAAAGAATTTCTGCTTTGAGAAGGTGTTTATTATTGGGGTTATTAACTGAAATTAAAAGAAAAAGAAAATGATTCCCCTTTTACAACAATTTAACCAAAAGCAAAATATAAAATTATCATTTCAAACATTGTTCTCTTGTCCATTAGATCAAAATTCCTTAAAAGTAACATTTTTGCTTCCAAAGACTTTTACAAAATGGTACCATTAATAACAATTAATTAAATAAGATTTCGAATTAAATACCTGACTTAAACATTTGTGTCGTCATTTATAAATCGAAAGTAATAATTTATTACGGGTTTCTACGCCATTTGCAATATTTTCAATTTACTGTCCCTCTATTTAAATGCATAATGAAACATATTGTTTACCTAGGTTTTGTAAACCACCTTGAATTTTACTTTCAACTCTCAATGCCTTCTTATATATTGAATTTAATTTTTTACTCACAATTAGACCTTAAATTTGAGAAAAAAGACATTCATATATGTAGCTGCATGAAAACGGAGTTGAAGTCGTATTTTCACAGTAGTTAAGTGATGTATTTAACAAAATGATAAAAATAAACAAGTGAACAAATATAATTAATGTGAACGAGGATGATCATTTTCCAATGTAGGAATTTCGCCTGCTACTGCCTTGGTGCTTTATTCAAGTAGATCTACTTCCTTTTACCGTGAAAAGGGTATCCTTGAGGTAAGGGAAAAGGATATGGATAAGGAAGTTGATATCCTGGAAGAGCAATCCCAGGAATGTAGCACATCATTGGTTGCTGATCTTGGAGTTTACTATTGCTCTCCGGAGGATGGAACTTTGTTTCTGTTTCGAATTCCTTGTCTTCACTCGGAAATACCGCATGTCCTGGGGTTATTTCCACACTAGTCCCAAACTTCCTCTTACTCATTTGGTCTTCATCATCCTCATCGTCTTCATTTTGGATATGTCGTTTTCTAATAGTTCTTGCGTCTGAAAGACTGACAACAAGGAAGACCCCCAGGAGGCAGAGGATTAAAAGGCGCATTTTGAAATTGGATTGTGATATGGGAACCGTTGCTTATATGTGGATCACAATTTGAGTTAGCTCATGATTGGTTAAGTGCTAGATCTGTCGTCGTTGGCATGAACGAATCACTTGGCAAATATCAGTGAAAAACCTGTGGTTTGCTTTTGCTCCAATTCAAAACGTAACAGAATTTTTTCTCTAACTTTGAAAATAAATTTAATTGTCAAAATGCAAAATGAAACTGCTCAATTTTTTAGTCAAAATTTCATAAATAAGGCAATATATCAAGTTAGATCTAAATTAACAAATTTCTTTGAACTACTGGGTTAAATACTTTATGTTAGAAAAGATTGCGAAAAACAAAATACGATTTCATGAAAAGTAATTTAGCTTAAATTTTATTTCAATTACCGGAGCATTAATACAATCTGTGCGGATTAATATAAGTTATTTAAAATAACATATTAAGTTATTAATTCCAAATTAGAAATTATATTTATGTTTGTTTATAATGAGGCCAATCTTATCTAAAAATTGCTGGAAATTAACCCATATCTTATTTTCTGTTCGATTTTTGAGAATATGATTCAATAATTATGATTGTATGCTGAAATCTATTTTTCATTTATTCAGTTGTATTATTAAAATCAAGCAGCCTTCGTAATCAAATATCGTTTGGAGTTGATCATTATTATGGAATGTGTATTTTATTGGAGATAATCTTTCTACTGTGCCAAAATTTTACCCAGGTACACATAAATCCAATATTACTTCCTTAGTAACGCAAATTTCAATCCAGTAATAAAAAAGGTTATTATATATTCCTAGCCTATTCTTCTCAGTGGGGAGTAAGATAAAAATTTCGTTATCTGAATACACATCGAATAGAAAACTGAAAAAAGATCTTTGCCTTAGAAACATATATTGAATCTGACAAGTGCATTTTAGAAGCATTAAAATGACAGAAATACTATCTGATGTGTGTGCAATAAAATGTCAAATTAAGTTAATAATAATTTAAGATATATATTAAGATAGCAGTTGGTTTTGTTAAATATAAATTAAAAATAATTAATCTTCTAGAATTATCAAGGCACGTTATGAATACGTGCCATCGTGTGAATAATACAAAATCAATAATGGCGAGTCAGTCACCCATTTAGAGAATAAATTTTAATGAACTATTATTTTTGTCACGTTTTCTGGAAATTTGTTTCAGCATTCTATTTCCACTTTCCTATTTATTTGGATACTGCTATTGGGAATATCAATATCAAAATTGAAAAGAAAACATTAAAATTAAGCAGTCTCAACTTTAAATATAAAGGATATTGCGCTTAGTTAGAATGATGTGAATGCAAATCTAAATTGAATTTGCGAATATAAATTCAACGTACTAATAGATCGTATGAGTACAATATCCCTATACAGCGTACTTAAATTCAATGAACCGTGGAGTACAAGTGTGGTGTGACTTGGAAGGTCACAGTAGCTCTGCCCATTAACCATTGCATTCTCAACGCTTTGTTATACCTTCAATTTTCATAGTAGAATATTTCACAATAATTTGAGGACTTGTTCAAAGTTAGGAAATTTTCAGAACAAGTATTGATTATTTCTTTAAATATTCAATAGCTCCAACTATAAATCCAAATTCCAAAAAATATATGGCGAATAGCACATCTTGCTTTGTTTTGTTTAAAGTGAATGGTAGATTTACTGATAACTCGAGCAGGGTTTTACTTGAAATTGCATAAAAAGGTTGATCAGGGTTGTCATAGAAAAGCACATTTTTTAAAAAAATTCAGAAAGGCATTAATGAATTTAGTTAAATAATGTAAGCAACAATGTTTTTTTCTGGGGAATATTACCTGTGACACAAAGAATGGCAACCAGCATATAGTAAAACATCCCATAATAACTCCAAGCGTTGTGACAGCTTTATGTGTTTCTCCCTTTCCCTGATCCGAGGGACTGCGTCCTTTCCCCTTTCGAAGCAGGGCAATCGGGGATTTTGCATAACTTGACATACTCCTATCGCCCACACTTCCACTACATTCCGACGATCTTCCATTATTTACAACGTCTGATTGCGATCGTCTGGTAAACGTCATCATGCTGTTCACCTTCCTACTCTTCATTGGATCTCGATTTGTGCGCATCACGACTGGAGAAGGTCTGAAGCTCACTACGCTCTGTCGTGACTTACCTTCCCCTGGAGCCCCATCCCAGTTGTCCTTCAAATCGCTGTAAAATTGTGAATTTGAACAATTATTTCCTGGAGGACTTATTGAGGATCTATTCCAATCGGTGCTCTCTGGAAGTGAAGAATTTCTCGTTTGGGTATCCGTGCTACATTTCCGTGCAATCTGAGCATCCGCTATTGCCATTTGTTTCGCCAGAACTAATATCTTTCCATAGAGAACAAGCATAACTGTTAAAGGAATGTAGAAAGCCGTTAGCGTTGCATAGATTTGAAAAGTTAAATCCATATTATAATTGCAAAAAAATGGAGCATTTTGCTGTTCCCATCCAAATATAGGTGATATGCTAATCGCTGCTGATAGAAGCCACGATATCAAAATCATAATAAACATTCTCTTAGGGGTCCGTTTCGGTGCATATTGGAATGGCTTAGTAATTGCCATATACCGATCAATTGATATAGTACAAAGACTCAAAATAGACAGTGTACAGAGAAGAAGATCTGATATGGAATAGAGGTCACAAATTGCCTGTTGGAAGGGCCAGTACTCGAAAATCTGATAAGCAATAGCGAATGGAAGGACAAGAATACTGACCATGAAGTCAGTGACCGCAAGACTGACAATGAGCAGGTTGGTTGGTGATCGTAGCTTTTTAACAATCAGGATGGCAATAATGACAAGTATATTTCCACCAGCTGTGCCGATGAGTAAAATACTGAGGAGAATCGTGAGTATAACCTTCCCCACTCCAATGTCCACCTGGGGTTTGCAGCTGCCGAGGAATTGATCCTGTGTAATTGATCCATTTGCAAGTGATTCCCAGAGGGAGGTACAATTTTCACCCCAAGATTTGAAGGTCAAGGGGTCATTCTGCTGACTCGCCATTATCGATTATTTGTGCCTAGGAGCATTGTTTTCAAAAATCACAGTACAGGAACTGAAAGTGTGATGTAATATTGAATTATTGTGTCACCCTTAGCCCGTGTGGCCGAATGCGCACACAGTAGAAGTCACAGCGTATAGGCAATAGGCGTGCAAATGCAGGCGGACGTTAATTGGCTGAGGAGCATCATTTTCCCACGAAGAAGTAGCCAATCGAACAGCATTGTCCAAATAATCACACACACAATATACATTCACGTTAACTGACATTTGCAAACAGAGTGAAGTAAACTTTCCGCAGAACATTGTTATATTCAGAGGTGACTAATATCAAAAAGTGGAAGATAAAATGATTAATTTCCCCTGATTTGCAGATTTCTAAATTGATTGCTTAAACATTTAGGAGGAACTTTTGGATAGTAACCGGATATAATAAATCTGGGAGCAAAGTAATAGTTTTATTTCTTTTTGTTTAAATCATGAGAGATTTTGTAATCTGAAACAGTATTATTCTCAGAGTTTAATCGTCAACAGGTCAATTAAATTTTTGGCGGAAATGATGGGAAAAAATAAAATAATGGTAGTTAAAATCCCCCTTGACAAAGCCATAAATTGTAGTTGAATTTATTTTTAAATATATATTTGCATTTATATGTGCTAGTTTGAAGTGGAAGAGATGTTCTGAGAGTGATAAGGTGAACGTCTCAATGATGTCAGTTCTGCATAAAATCGATTTCATTTCAGTGAAACACTACACTTTTAATGCTTGCAAGTGAAGTTTGAAATTCCATCTTAATATGTGAGTATAAGTTTGCAGTATTCAACTTATTTTATGCAGTGTGTTGATCGCACCATTTTGAAAAAGTTTCCCACCTTTAACTAATATGATGAGGCGTAATACAATTACTCAATTTGGACCTGTGCAGTTTTTGTCGCCCATTATCTGCCTAGTAATTGGGCTAATTTACTCACTTACTTCGTTTTCCAATCAAGTGGATAAATAGCAAATACTGTGTCAAGAATAGTATTTGCTAATGTGCTATTAAAATGTGACGACAATCAGTTCGTGCCAATTTGCTGGTGGGTTAATACACTTTACTGCAAAATTCAGACCCAGTCAAGGTCAGACTGCTATCAGCTCAGTCACTCAAGTAATTAAAAAGCGCTTAGTTGTCTGACTTTAAGCTAAAACAGCATGAATTCCATACGGCTAATGACCTCCCAGTGTCTTGTCGTCGACTTTTCCGCTTTCTTTAATTCAATCTTTTAAATGAACATTTAACTTTCCTTCTTAATTTCTCCTTTTCACTTTCACACACTTTTCAAAAGTCAGTGAAAATAATAACTCTAAATGAGAAAGAATGAAAAAGGGCATTTCGAAATTGGCCTATTCTTAAGAGGGAAGACCCTTCTTTAAAATTTTAATCATTTTTCCCTATTGTGGTAGCGAATTGAGACAATAAATCAATTATTTGTTTATTAAAGTAATAATTACAGTGTTGGGAATAAACCCCTCTGGCGAAAAATCTACGGTCTAAATTCACGAAACTCACCCTCATCACTAGCAGTTGGACCAACACAAGCGGTCTCGCAAACGCTCATCTCCACAGTATATCTATTGGGGAGATTTATTCGAGTAAACGGCTAATAGACATTTGTTTAGTCACAGTGGGTGGTATTACTGCTATTCTAAACGAGATTTATTAATTCATGGGACATCAACATCATAATGCGAGATGTTATAAGGTAAAAATTACAAATAACGTCTCGTAGTTATTCGCTCTTGAAAAAAATTGACATAAATCGTGAAGCGGATTTAGTTCACTTGCCTTTTACCTGTATTTAAAGCTGAATTAAAGTGTATATACATTAAGAAGTGCATTGTTTTAACTCAGAAGTGCACGCAGTGAATTAATAGATAAACTTTGAAATAGTGAATTCTGATAATCTCAATTCATCTGTTGAGGGTCATTTAAGACGTTTAGACTTCGTGAGTATGCCAAGCGACAGTATTTACTAATACGCCCACATAAATTCGGTGAAAAAATTCAAAGTGACACGTTGACACGGCCTTTAACGTCTAGATGTTGCGTGTTTGATGCTTAGCCTGGATAATCAACCGCGCCGATTACATTTAGCTAATAAAGATAGGGTGGAAGAGGGCGGATGTAAGTTCAATGCAAAATTGAATAGATTCCAAGATATAGTCCCTCCACATAAGATGATTTCTGGAATTAACTTTTAAAGTGAACTGATGAAATAGTATTTTATAATCTACAAGATATGAATGAAAATAGCAACCAACCAGGGTGTCTCTCTAATATTGAGAAGCCTCTTTGATGTTTATATTTTGTATGCTTTGTGAACCATGGTAATGAGTATTACAATTCTCGCATTTTGGTTGAATAGGCATCAGTCTACGTAAACATACCTTTAAACGAGTTATTAAACTGAAAGGATTAGAAAGTAGTCAAATACTTTTCGGCCGTAAGTGATAGTTAATCTAAGTTTCGAATATCAGCTTTGTAAGTGACAGATCACCATATCCTACCTCATTTCGAATCGAACTCAGGTTATTTAGGGCCAAGTTTAGTTTCAATTGCCAAGAGATTGTCACCGTCTGTGGAACTGATCAGCTTTCTTCTTTGTTAGTCACAAATGTGTAAATAAGCTGGCATTTTAAATGCGGAAAGCGAAATATGAACAAATATTTAGAGTTATTTACGTAGGAGTGACTAACTAGTACAAAAGAAGAAATAATTTTGAAATAATTTTTCCAATTTCGGTCATCATCACCTGAAGATCAATCTGAAAATCTGAAATCAAAATTTTCTAATCTAAAAATGGGTAAAATATAAGATAGCATTTAGTCACGTTTCAAAATAAAAAAAGTATATTCTAAACCAGAATTTGAAAAAAACTGATTTATTGTGGTCTTAGCTATTCTGATCGGTTTAACAGCGGCAAAGATCGTATCAGCTTAAAAACAGGCTGGATTTTGTCTATTTGCCTAATTGGCTGGGTGTTTTGAACCCCAAACATGCAGCGCCCCCAGTTGAAAACTAAGTTCTTTGTAGATTGTCGATAAAAGTGGTAATTTTTTTCTTATTAAAAATTATAAATGTTAGTCTTTCTACTAACTTTTGAAAGTATAAATATAATTGATTTATCTTGGGACTTAGTCTCTGTATTCGGAACTTTTTCTACTAAAACTTTACAAGATAAAATAGACAATAGGAAATTTTTTAATCATACCACTAAATTATATTTAATCTTATACAGACTCTAGTAAGCTCGGTTATCTAATCTACCTCTTCATGTCCGTAAGAAATCTAATAGGAGTTTAAATTATATTCAGTAGCATACAGTTATGGTATTAATCGGAAAATATGT